AACTAAAGAGTGTGAAGCCAGAAAATACAAACATGAATTTGGCATTTAATGCTGACATCAATTAATATAAAAACCAACCAGCTGCTGTTGGTGCTTTCTCTGTGCAGAGGGAGGGAGTGGAGTGGGTATGAAGGTGTGGGACACACCCTTCCTGTCTGTAGGGAAACACATCATGCACATGCAGAAAAGAGGTGGCATACCAGGCAGCTGGGCTCCGGAGAAGGTTTCCTGGAGAAGGCATAGAGCTGATGGCAAAACAGCAAGAGAGGTGATGTCTGGAATCAAACATTTAGGGCGATCTTTGCAAGAGACCAGATTTTGTTGGGGTGTGTGTGTTTGCATACACGTGCATGCTCGTGCTTCTGTCTCCTCAGTTCTTCCCAGTCCCGTCTAGTGTTTCAGATCATTATAAAGACCCACGCAGGCCTGTTGCACCTTCCAGAGTTCACCATTTTCTTTGCATACTCATTTTGCTGCGAACCATCTGCCTTTTGTCAGCCTACACCCTTAAAGGATCAGAATTCTCCTTACAGATTCTGCCCCCCTTTCTCCCATTTATTCCACCTAATATTGATTTTCTGCACTGTAATAGCCTCAGAAGTTTTGTCATGTGCGTTGAGGCCATTCATTGAGCAGATGCTTGTGGAGCACCTACTACAGGCAGCATGCAGGGGAATAGAAAGATTGATAAAGCAGGGTGGTCCTTGCCCTGAAGCTGCTTGGTTAGTAGAGGAAACAGATGGGCAAATGGACTTAATTAAATGTGATTAGAGCTTTATATTGGTCGGATAGGGAAAGACGTTTGGCAGGAGCCCCAAATCCCCGAGTCCCTCCGTCAGCCTGCTTGCAGCTGTGCCAGGTTCATGAAGGCTGTCCACCTCACTGAGCACAGTCAGAGGAGACACGTTCTTTATTAGTAACTGTGATTCTGTCGTGAAAACTTTCTGTATAGCAGGAAAATGAGTAGAGTGTCCTTTAGTCACTTCCACCCAAATCCTCCAGGCAGAAAATCTAGACTGAAGGAAAAAGTTTAGAGTTAGACTGAAGTCGAGTGTTTCTCTTCTGTGGACTCACATACCTGCTCCTCCTCCTGGGTTCTCTGCCTCCAAATAGCACCCTCATCAAGCCCAAGGTGCAGGAGCATCTGTGGCACCTGCAGGCCTTCTGCCAGTGAGGTTGCCAGTGCCCAGGTGCAAGCCATTCTTCTCCAGCTGCAGGTTATGCACGACCTGTGTCACAGGACCCCAAAATTTAGGGGGTCGTTTCTAGCATTAAAAAAAGAAAGAAAAAGAAGTAGAATGGAAAGCATTAGAGAAGATTGCACAGAGAAGGTTGAGGTTTATTTTGTGTGTTTCTGATAATAGTTTTATAGAAGAAGGCTAACATTGCTAAAGGCTTTATGTGTATTGACTTATTTATCCCCCACAGTAGGTACCATTGTTATTATCTCTACTTTGCAGATGAAGAAACTGAGGCTCTAGAAGTGAGAAGCTGGCCCAAGGTCACAGAGAATGCCAGGGCTCCCGCTGCACTGGTGGCCTGCTTCTCACAGACTGTGTGTGCACGTATGCACATGTGGGTGTGTGTACTGGGTGGCAGAGTAAAGTGCTTTTACTCTTTGGATTGTGCTTAAGAAAAACCATCGGAAGTTTACATTTCACAGACCTCTGTACATCCGTGTTTATCCCTTCCAGACTTCCACTCTGTGGCCACATACTTATAAAATGCAGATTGGGTGCTGCTTCTCTGTTGAGGGGTCTCCTGCTTTTAGAAGAGTGTAATATCTATGTGTTCACAAGGCTCTGTGTCATCTGGTTTCTCCTGCCTCTTGTGACTCCATGGCTCTTTCCATGCTGACTGTACTCCTGCCTCACTGGCCTTTCAGCTTTGAGTTATGCCAGGCTTTGAAAGACTTCAGGGCCTTTGCACATGCTCCTGTGACCTCTCAGACTTAGATAGGCTCTTTCATGACCTGCCCCCATATAACCCTGTCCTGCAAGTTCATAGCACTTTACTAGGTCCATAACGATATGTAGTCATGCGTCACTAAATAACATGAATACTTTCTGAAAAATGTGTTAGGTTGTTTCATCATCGTGTAAACATCATATAGGGTACTCAAACGAACTGTTGACAGTTATAACACAACAGTAAGTCTTTGTCTAAACGTATCTACGCATAGAAAAGGCACAGTAAAAACATAGTATAAAAGATTAAAAAATGATATACCTGTATTGGGCTCTTACCTTGCAAGCCTGGAAGTTGCTCTGGGTCAGTTACTGAGTGGAGAGAGAATCTAAAGGCTTAGGACATTACTGTATATTTTCATATGACTGAAGTGCTGTAGGTTTGTTTCAGAAGCATCACCACAAACACATGAGTAGCTCATTGTGCTACCACTTTACAATGGCTAGGATGTCAGCTGGCAATAGGAATATTCAGTTCTATTGTAATCTCATGGGACCACTGTGTATACACAGTCCTCAGTTGACGGAGACATTATCATGGGGATTGTGGCTGTACAGTAAGTCATCATTTAATGCCATTGATAGATTCTTGGAAACTGACTTTAAAGCAAAATGACATGTAACTAAATCAGTCTTACCAAAGGTTAATTAGTTGATATAAATGAGAATTAAGTTCCTATGGCATATTTCTAGTACAAAAACATCACCAAACTTCTAAATAAAGACCCCAAACATGTCTTATGTTAAACTTTGAAATAAATGGGAGGTATACCTACATTTGAGACAGATTAATAAGACCAACAAGTAAGATCTTTTTTTTTGAGACAGAGCCTCAAGCTGTTGCCCTGGGTAGAGTGCCGTGGCATCACAGCTCACAGCAACCTCCAACTCGTGGGTTCAAGCGATTCTCCTGCCTCTGCCTCCCAAGTAGCTGGGACCACAGGCGTTTGCCACAATGCCTGGCTGTTTTTTTTTTTGGTTGCAGCTGTCATTGTTTGGTGGGCCTGGGCTGGATTCCAACCTCCCAGCTCAGGTGTATGTGGCTGGCGTCTTAGCCGGTTGAGCCACAGGTGCCCAGCCAAGTAAGATCATTTTTAACCCAGTTTTGGGTGGATCAGTAAGTGTTGGCGGTCATCATGGTGGTGAGTTAAATTAAGGAATAAATGTTTGCAACGTGAAAATTGTAAGGAGCATCGTCAAAAACAATCACAAAGATGGTGGGGACTTGCTGAGGGCTTTTTGTGCCACGTTTATTGTCATGCATTTGTATGATTATCCAGTGCCTAATGAATTTGTATTTGACAGTAATTGTATTCATTCATCCTTTTTCCCACCTACTTATTCCAGTTCGGAGTTGCAGGTGACTGATGCTGCTCCCCGCAGCTCTGGGTGTGTGATGTGGGAACCTACCCTGGACTCTTTTTTATTGCAGGACACTCTTAGGCACCCACATGCACATCTTTTGCACATCAGAGGAAATCAGAGTACAGACATGGAATGAACCTGCAAACTCCACAGATGACTGGGGCCAGGAATTGATCATTTTTTTCCCTCTCAGCAACATTGTAACAAAATGATGTATGTCCAAAGGACATTATTGGAGGACCTGCTACAGTTCTGTGTTCACTTAATGTCTTTCTGAGGGCAGGGGCACTCGGGCTGGCTCACATCCTCAACCCCAGGGCAGCGTCTGGCATGTCAATCAGTGAATACTTAATTGCGTGTGCCTTTTGAAGTTGAAGAAAGGGGAGAGTCCCATTTTTGGCTGAATTGACTTTCTGGTTAAAATAGTCTTTACTCTCTTCTTGTCTAATTCAAGTGCTAGAAAGCATTTCTTTAATTGGACATGTTCATTTCTATGGATGGGTTAAAATCTGGGCTTTTCTGTTTTTGTTTTTTTTTTTAATCTGGTGGATGCCCAGTGCCTTGCTCTACCTGGACAGGTAGCTGCTGGGCAGCTGTCAGTCTGTGGGTGGGCAGTGTGGGCAGGTGAAGGAGGCCTGGACCCTAGATCAAGACGAGTGACAGCACACAGACCCACGTGTGGCTGACGGTGACCGCAGGGGTGGATGGTGTGGCAGAGCAGTGTTGGGGCCTCACGCTGTGTCCGTAGTGTGCCTTGGTGATGTGTGCTGCTGGGCTTGGTTGGCCAAGGGCACTGCTCTCATCAGCTGAGCATGTATCTCCAGGCCAAAGCCATTCAGATTCCTTTTCTAACGTTATACGTTGGTGACTGTTAAAACCTTGATTTTTGTTTTTTAATAATTTTGAGCAAGGACATCTTTTTTTACTAAATTATTAAGAACTAAATGCATTTTAATAGATGCTTTGATTAAATTATATGAATAGCAAAAAAGCAACACCTTGATATTTGACCTTGGAGGCTTGTCTGGCTAAGGTTAGTGTGGTGACAGCTCCAGCCTTTGTTGGTGGAGCATCTGCACCTGCGCTCACTGTGGCCATCAGGAGCATCTGCACCTCTGCTCACTGTGGCCGCCAGGAACGTCTGCGCCTGCGCTCACTGTGGCCATCAGGAGCGTCTGTGCCTGCCCTCACTGTGGCCGTAAGGAGCATCTGTGCCTGCGTTCACTGTGGCCATCAGGAGCGTCTGCACCTGCGCTCACTGTGGCCATCAGGAACGTCTGCGCCTGCGCTCACTGTGGCCATCAGGAACGTCTGTGCCTGTGCTCACTGTGGCCGTAAGGAGCATCTGTGCCTGCGTTCACTGTGGCCATCAGGAACGTCTGCGCCTGCACTCACTGTGGCTGTTAGGAGCGTCTGCGCCTGCGTTCACTGTGGCTGTCAGGAACGTCTGTGCCTGCGCTCACTGTGGCCGTCAGGAGTGTCTGCACGTGTGCTCACTGTGGCCGTCGGGAGTGTCTGCACATGCGCTCACTGTGGCCTGTGCTCACTGTGGCCGTCAGGAGTGTCTGCACGTGTGCTCACTGTGGCCGTTGGGAGTGTCTGCACATGCGCTCACTGTGGCCTGTGCTCACTGTGGCTGTCAGGAGCGTCTGCACCTGTGCTCACTGTGGCCGTAAGGAGCGTCTGCGCCTGTGTTCACTGTGGCCGTCAGGAGTGTCTGCACGTGCGCTCACTGTGGCCTGTGCTCACTGTGGCCGTCAGGAGCGTCTGCACCTGCGCTCACTGTGGCCATCAGGAGTGTCTGCACCTGTGCTCACTGCTCCCACCAACCTTGTCATGTAGGTGGTGGACCCATCTTGTGGAGAAAAGAAAGCTGGGACCCAGTGAGTTTGAGAAACTTGCCAAGGTCTTCCATTTAGAGTGTGCTCTAGGATCCCTTTCTCTTTTCTTTTCTTTTTTTTTAAAGTTGCATCTACCCTGTTAATGGCTTTTTTGAGTTAGGAAATACTGGCTGTTTGTAATCTCCTTGAGTGCAAGTTTTAGTAGTTGTCTTTTGCCTATTTTAGATAGTCTCTATTCTTATCTGGTGTGGCCCAGCCTGTCCTGGGTGAGCTGATCTCTCAGGAGGTCTGCTTGTGCCGCCTCTGCGGGATCTCCTTGGCTCTGGCGTGGGTCTTCCCTCTCAGTTGGAGTGCACACTGATGGGGTCGGGCTATGCTCTGGAAATAGTAGTGGGTTCCTCTCCTCGCTGCTTCCTTTTATTTCTGAATGCTCTGTCTTTGGTCTGCATTAATTTTCCATCTTTACTGCTGCAGTTCATTGCTCTTTGCTGACTCCTTTATTTTTATTTTCCAGACTAGCCTGAAATGCATCTTGATTTTGGCATCTTTAGAAGTTTAAAGCCCTCCACTTTGTTACTGATGATTTCCCTCAATTTGCAGAATTCCATTTGGTTGCAAGTCTATTTGGCAAGGCTCTGCCTTTCTTCTTTCTGCTGTCATTAAATTTTAATATTTTTCTGTTGCTTCTCTTTTATAGAAATACGTATTTCATTTTTTAGGTTGTAATAACGGACCTTTAATGCCCCCTACACTTTGACTTCCCATCTACATCTTTTGCCATCGTACCTGTTTTCAGAATGATCTGTTCATAGAGCAGAGGACACTTTTATGGCGTCCTTGCTCTTTCTAAAAGGCAGATCTGTCCACATCACTTGGTGCGTGGCACCCTTCCTTGGCTCTGTGTGATCAGTCCTGAGTGTGGTACCCTTTCCCTCCTGCCTCTTGGTTTCAGGACCCCTTTATGTAAGTTTTAAATGTCAGTGAGATTCCCCAAAGAGATATTTACTATATTAGAAATTGAAATTGAAAATAATTTAAAAATATTTATTGAATTTGTTTAAATACAATAGTAAACCCATTACATGATAATATAAGTAACATTTTTACTGAAAAATATTTCTCGAACAGACATTGAGTGAGAAGAGTGACATTGTTCTAGTACTTTTTTCCAGATCTCGTTAACGTCTGCCCTGATGGAAGACAGCTGGAGTCTCATAAATGCTTCTGCATTCTGTCTGCTGCAGTATGTTGTGTTGGTTGAACTATGTGGGAAAAAACCCAGCCTTGCATAGATAAATAGTTGGGAAAGGGAAGAATATTTTAATAGCCTTTTCAATTAATTGTATAGTCTTTGAAACTACATCAGAACTCAACAAGCATCATTTCTTAAAGGTTTGTTACAAGGTGGCATCTGAAACCCTATCAATGGACTTCTCATACTGCTGTGTTAAAGTCTATTGGCCTGTCACGCACTTTGAAAGGATCTTTTATGCATCATTTTGTAACATCATGCAGCAGTCAGTTGGAAAATATCAAAATACCACATTTAATGTCACTGCTTAGAAAAATATCAGAATATCACATTTGTTAAGGTCACTAACATTCTCATCCGAAAAGTCTTCAAGTGTTGAGATGCTTTAAAGCTCACTGTGGTGGATACAAGTTTTCTAAAATTTTAGTTTCCGCTTGAAAGCTCAAATTTTATCTTTAGCAATAAATACTGCCAATTTCCTTCAAATAACAGTCTCAGTGTATTCATTTTTGACAAAATGTTTATAAATACCCAAATCTGAATAATCGTGGTTTTTCTGTCAGTCATTTTTTCAAGTAAAAATGATGTTCCCTGAAAGCCCGGCTGATGCGGCTTGCAGCTCAGTCACACAAGGGTTTTTTTCCTGACAGCCCTCACACTTCGGCCTGCAGCAGGAGTGTCATTTGAGTGCTTACCATTTTTACTGTTTTGTCTCATGCGATATTAAAGATTTGTTTTACTCAAGAGTCAGTATTTAATAAAATTAATAATTTTTACTTCTTCATCAAGGACATTCTTAGGTGACTTGACTTTTAGAGCTAGGTGTGCGCGGGTGCACCAGTAGAGAACACGGTGATGGCAGGACAGTGCACTGAGGGCCCTGCCTTGACTTACGTTATGGCACCTGCAGTTTTCTTTGCTAATTGCTCTTGTACCATCAGTGCAAATGTAAACACAGCTGAAGCGGTTTTCACCTTGCAGGGCCCCCAGAAAGGGCCTTGGACCACAGTCTGAGAACCACTGGACGCCACCCAGTTGGTCAGCACTCCATGGGCGTGCACTAGACTCTCTTGCTTCTCTCTTCTTGCCTCCTGCCCTTTCTGCCTGAACACTCATCTTCACCTTCCGTCCATCCTGTCCATCCGTGGGTGTGTATGCTCGTGTACACACGTTCAGGCTGTCTGTATTCAGCTCATCACAGTCATGCGTGTGGTGGTCTCTTCTAGTAGGTGGTAGACTGTGAGCCGGGAGCACCAAGTGCTGTGTCAGTCACACGTTAAATGTTATTGATATTGGTGATGGTGATCTTCCTCCTCATCAGTCTCCAGGGTTTAATGTTTCTTGAACAAATGAAGAATTTGGGTTAGAATTCCTAGGGTTTCCTTAGAACATTAGCTCTGTGATAACAGTATTGATGAGAGGGTATCTGTGCTTAATTAGGATTTAGGAATGATCAAAATGGTTTTTTGTTTTTTTTTTTGAGACAGAGCCTCAAGCTGTCCCCCTGGGTAGCGTGCCGTGGCATTACAGCTCACAGCAACCTCCAACTCCTGGGCTCAAGCGAGTCTCTTGCCTCTGCCTCCCAAGTAGCTGGGACCACAGGCGCCCGCCACAACGCCCGGCTATTTTTTGGTTGCAGCCGTCATTGTTGTTTGGCGGGTCCGGGCTGGGGATTCGAACCCGCCACCTTGGGTGTACGTGGCTGGTGCCTTAGCCGGTTGAGCTATAGGCGCCGAGCCTCAAAATGGTTTTTAATTGAAGGATCTCTGAGATATGTTATTATACAGTGTGCATTGGGAACTTTAAAGGGAGGGGGATAGGGGAGTTACAGAAGATAATATTTCCCAAGCTGAGTAACTCATGAACCTTCTTTTCTTAGCATAACTCGTAGGATTATTTTCCTTGGAATTTTCCTTAGGAAAGAATCTCATAGCCTGTCTTGTTGATTTTTACAGATGAGGAAATTAATGACCTGTGTTCATACTTGCATTAATTTATACCTCATGTATTTAATGAATATCACTTAAAGGGAGATACTTTGAGGTGTGAGAATACGATGGCGAGTGAAAGAAAAAAAGAGTTGGAAATGTTAATATACTCTCTATATTCATTAAGTAATCACTGCAGTTGCCAGTGTTACCTGAATGCATTTAGGAAGTTACACAATGCTAAATCATTTGTTTGTTTTGTTTTGCCCATTTTTAAAGTTCTTGAGGCCTGTTTAGGTCTTCCTCTCAGCACTCTGTCACGGCCAACATCCCCAGGACCTGGACGACTGATGAAGATCAGTAAAGGTGTTGCCCATTTGCCCAACTCTATCATCTGAGAGTGTAGCATGTTTAAGGGATGGTCTTCTTAAAATATCGGACAACTTTCTCTTGTTGCCTGCCACATTAGTAGGTGCTTGTATGTGTTGGTTGGCTGAAGGAAGAATGTGTAAATGTGTTTAGAAAGACCTAGGACTGTAGGACAAGCCTTGTAACTTACTGCACTGGGCAGGGTGACTGCGTTTCCTGCACTCCTGGCTCTGAACTGGCCCTGATTGGAGGAACCAATGACTCTCCCCTTCTCCACAGAAACCAAAATACAAAACAGAAAACCTGTCCTGTTATCTGTGTGGATTTAGTACTGCCCATGTGTTGGGGGAAAATGTTAATACACTATTTATGTGAATATATTTAATCAAAGGACATGATGTTTATATAGTCAAATTGGCCTGTGCTCTTGTAACTGCCTGAACAGATAGCAGAAGGGTTTTGCAACAGAACAGCCTTGGAGTTGGGACTTTTTGAAGATTTGGCCGGTATTTAATTTGATGTTTCATTCTGTGAAGTCACCTATAGAGAAATCAAACATTTACATGATTAACTGATGCTTTTCATTCTTGGTGTTTGGCCAAAGGCTTTGGGCTGGATGAGCTCTGGGAATGCATAAAAAATCTCCCGTTTGCCCCTGGTATGGGTAGATAGGCAAGAAACATTTACCTTCTCATGTTATCTTCTTGCTTCAAAGCCTGAAACTTCTTCAGCCACATTGTGTTCCTGCCAGAGTCTGAAAATGAGGCTTTCAGGAGACCCGGGGTTAAGTAGAGAGAACGGTGTGTATCTGGACTGGCGGATTGTCCAGTGTTGCTCCAAGATTAAATTAGGAAAGTTCTTAGGGAGGTTTAGACCTCTTGATTTCTAGTTTTTTTTTAATTGAGTTGGAGTTGCAGAAATAATCATGAATCACTAATTTTAAAAAAAGTCTTTTCTTTGTAAAAATAATTCATACTAATTGTAGAAATTTGGAAGAATAGCACAAGGCATAATGCTAGAAATTACTCAGAACTCTATTCACTGCTAATTACCACAAACATTTTATTGTATTTGCATGTATTTTCATACACCTAATTAAGATCATTGTGTACAGATTTCGATTTATACTTTTTCCATGTAACATACGAATACTTTTTGTTATGTTGAGAGCTGCTCAGAATAGGGACTTGTATTAATTCCCTATGGATGCTAAATTTCCACATAGTGAGCGACTTGAAACAGTATAAATTTATTTTCTCATAGTTCTGGAGGTTAGATGTTTGAAATCAAGGTATAGGCAAGATAATGCTGTGTGTGGAGACATCAGGAGAGAATCCATTCCCTTCCTTGCCGTCCCCGCTTCTGGTGGCCAGGCGATGGGTGGCACCCTTGGCGTAAGGTCCCATTGCTCCATTGTCTGCCTTTGTTTTCACGTCACTTTTGTATGTGTGCACAACATCTGTTTCTCTCATAAGGACACTTGTGTTAAGGCCCCATGCGGTTAATCAAGGATATCGCTTCATCTCAAGACTCTTAATCACATCTGCAAAGACCCTTTTTCCAGCTTTCAGGGTTAGGACCTGAGATATTTGGGGCCATTATTCAGCTTCCCATAAGGTTTCAAGTGTGGATTCTGGAGCCAGACTATGTGGGCTCAAATTGCAGTTCCATTTTTTCAGTAGCATGGTGACCTTGAGCAAGCCCTCAAGCAACCTTGAGTTTTCTTTCTTTTTTTTTTTTTTTTTTTTTGCAACCTTGAGTTTTAACTCATGGTGCCTCCACTTTCTGATCTGTAAAATGGGAATGACAGTACCTACCTCCTCAAGTTGTTATGTGGATTAAAAGGATTAATATGTATGAAATACCTAAAAAGTTTAGGATAGTCCTTAAGGATAGCTGTTATTATAGTAATTTTTATTAAAAGTTCTTTATAAAATGTCTTTTTAATGGCTACCTAAGATTTTCTTTGTGAATCTGCCATAATTTATCTAATTGTTTACTTTTGTTGTCTCTTTCCAGTTTTTCATCTTGTGTGTAACACTTCCATGGGTATCACTGAGTGTTAAGTTTTGTCTTACTTCAGATCCATTCCCTAGTGTAGAGTTCCAGAAATGAAATTAAAACACCAAAGAGTGTGTGCAATTTTAAGCTACTTAATAAGAATTTGCTAAATTGCTTCACAGAAATACTGTGCCTATTATACTACTACCACTAGCTGAATGATGGAGGTATCTGTTTTGTCATGGCCATACCTGTGTTATCCTTTTAAACATTCTCAGGTATTTTGACAGAGTGTAGCCTTTGAGGTTCAGATATGCCAGCGGGGAGACTCAAAACACCATGGTTTCTTTACTGAGGAGCATTCTGTCAGTACAAGAAAATCCCTAATGCAAAATGGAACCCTTGTCTTGCCAAGTCCCCAGGGACTTTCTCCATTCTGTTAGGAAGCCTGGAAACTCCCTGAGTTTCTCCAAGGGTAAGAGGAGGTTTTCTCGGGGAGAGGATATGTCAATTGTGGGGCAATGCTAAGTATACGAACATTTCAGTAACACGGTTTTGCTTGTTTTCAAACTTTTAAAGCAGAACATTTGATGGATGAAAGAGACACACTTGAACAGAAAACAGATTTGTGTAGTCACGTTGCTGGAAGTCATGTGAGGGCTGGGAGGAAGGAGTGGGAGGGGCACTCCTGCACAGCTGCTAGGTGAGCTGGGAGACCAGCTCCGGGAAGGGGAAGGGCCAGGGGGGCGAGGGTGGTCTGAGCTGCATTTCCTCCCACCCCCACCTGCTAGTTCCCTTTCCTCTTCTGGTAGGTGCCCGTTGCAGTGGTCCTGCTCAGCACAGGCTCAGGCCTTGGGGCCATAGAGGAAGAGCAGCAGTCTGGTGAGTCTGCTGAAAGAGACCTTCTAGGTCAGAGGTCAGAGGCCTCTACGTCTCTGGTCCTCTATGGTTCAGGCTATTTATACACAGGGTAGTGGTTGTGTGTTTTCCTCAGCAGGTGACTGATACAAGTGCACAGTGTACACCATGTAGCTAGTTAGTCGCACATGAATTCAGCAGTACTCAAACCTGTTGTAGTGGGGCCACATGGTGGCCCCACAGACATACTTACGTCCTAGAACCTGTAAATGTTGCCTTAATTAGAAAAAAGGGATTTGGGCCAGGTGTGGTGGCTCATGCCTGTCATCCTAGCATTTTGGAAGGCTGAGGTGGGAGGATCCCTTGAGCTCAGGAGTTCGAGACCAATCTGAGCAAGAGAGAGACCCCATCTCTACTAAAAATAGAAAAAATTAGCCAGGGATTGTGGTAGGCACCTAGAGTCCCAGCTACGCAAAGAGGGTGAAACCAGAGGATTGCTTGAGCTCAGGAGTCTCAGGTTGTAGGGAGCTTGTTTGACTCCATGGCACTCAAGCCTGAGCAACAGAGGACAGTCTGTCTTAAAAGGAGGGGGCAGGGAGCTACAGACGTCATTAAGTAAGGTTCTTGAGTTGAGGAGATCATCCTGATTATTTGGTAGTCCCTAAGTGCCATCACAGATGTCCTTACAAGAGGAAAGCAGAGGGAGATTTGACACGGAGGAGACGGCAACATGAAGATGGAGGCAGACGTTGGAGGGATGTGGTCACCAGCCAAGGAATGCCTACAGCCACAGAAGCTGGAAGGGGCAAGGCCAGGATTCACCCCAGAGCTTCTAGTGGGAGCACGGCATTGCCTGTCCCTTCATTTCAGACTTCTGAATCCTAGAACTGTGAGAGAGTAAGTTTATATTATTTTAAGTCGTTCAGTTTATGGTAATCTGTTGCAGCAGCCTCAGGAAACGCGTATGCCAGTCCTTGCCCTGTTTAAAGTAGTTCCACTGATCATATGCTGATATGATGTGTAGCACTGATCAGATGTGTAGCAATATCTATCATATTGCTATAAAAGACTAAGTGTTTACGCTTAATTTCTGTACTTATTTGGACATGAACTGGCAGTGGAGTTGGAGGAATGCACTGATTTGCAGACTACCCCTTGAGTGCGACTGGTCTAGTCTCCTGCCCATGTTTTACAGATGAGGAGCTGCAGAGAGGAAGAGATAGGGCTGGGATTAGAACCACAGGAGCCTCTGCTGCCTGGAATGTGTAGACAGGCCAGGAGTCGGTGTGCAGACAGGAGGGCTACCCTTCCATCTGTCCTGCATCCCAGCTGCTGTCCCTGTCAGGGTGTGTACCCTGCTCAGTGAAAGCTGATACTCCAGTGAGTCCCTGGAGTTTTGAGCTGCTCAGAAGCCCAGAAACCAGGGGAAGCTTGGAGACCTTTGCTAGTGAGTCACCAGCAGCAAGCAAGGGACCCTGTTCAGGGTAATGGTTACAGCTTGCTGTCAGCCTGATTTCCAGCTGACTTTTCAGTCATTGTGGTTTGGGTCATATTTTCTTTCAGAAGCCCAATTTTAACTATTTTTCTGATGATAATTGTCTCTTAGAGAATGTGGTCTACAGTCATCTTGACTTTTATGTTAGTCCAGACTCCTTAACTTGGCATTTGTGGCCCAGGGAGAGAACTCCCTTCTCCTTGCCAGTTCTGCCTCTCCACCCTCCTTCCCTTTTACATCGTCTGTGAACTTCACCAAAATCATTGCTCACTAGTAGAAGGGACTAGAAGAGGTTAGGTGAGTTCATTGTCAGCCTGCTCAATTAATGGGAAAATATGGTAAGGTTAGAGTTGGGCATAAATCTTTGAAACTCTCACAAAAAAAAAAAAAATTCATTAAAATAGAATAAAAAGGCAGCATTGAGCTGCTAGTACCAATCAAACTTGAGCAAAGTCACCTGAGACCATCTAGTTGAGCCATCGGATGACTGTAGCCACATAGGTAAACCAGGCAAGACCAGAAGAAAAACTACCCAGCTGAGCTTCACAAGAAATGTTTAATATTGAAGAGGCTCCCCCCCAAAAGAAGAGGCAGCGCAGTAAACCAAGATTTATCTTTGAGTTAACTGTACTCATCTTAGTAATGATAGGCATTGTCCTATTTCTCAGTTACTCCTGGCTTATTATTCAGAGCCTCACACCTTTAAATTTTCTTTCTTTTTTTTTCTTTTTTTTTTTT